GAAAGTTTGGGCCTAAAATGTTTAGTTGGTACATTTAATAGCAATAACAGCATGGGTAATAACAGTATTTTTCAACACCATTTAAATATTATTAGTGAATTAAGTTTTTTATAAACTTATTTTCACAGTTTTAAAAATGTGGGCTTCCTACAGCAATGTTTAGTCAACATCTTCATTTTTTATAGCATCTTCATTTTTAAATATAAATAATCTCGTGCATTCATTGGTTTATATTTCTTTAATTTTGGCATCTGTATGTATGCATTTTATCATGTCCACGTTTTTAATGTAGACTTCATTTGGATCATCTGAAAAGGTGAACAATTGAGCACTACAAGAAACTGGATGTTCAGAAGCATATGGGCAACATAGTTAATAACAGCTGACCCTTGTAATTTTTAACTTTCTCATTCTTTCTCTTCCCTCCTACTGTACTGATATTTTTCATTATTGCTGCATTCATTTCTAAAATACTGTCAGGCGGTAGGAGTCCTGCACCTGCTAGAAAAGAATTTGGAGGTAATGATTTTAATTGTTTTCCAGTATGACTGCGTAGCAAAACTGCTGTGGTGATCTGTTGTGACAATACTTAACGTGATGATTTCCAAAGGTATAAAAATGGGTCATTCTTAATGTCATAGAAATGGATAACTCTTGAATGTCAATATAATTTCTGTCTTGGGGTTTGTCCCCATCTCTGAATTATATCTGACTTTTTAGTGAAATAATATTTGTCCAGAAGCTGGTACATTATAGTCTGAGATTAAAGCTGTCCCAGGTTTTTATTACTTTGTCCTGGTTGGAATACACCCAGCTGACTTTTCTGTGGAAGCTGGAACTTGTCTGTAGTTGTAGAAAGGAGAGCTTTTTTCCTCACAAGCTATGTCAAGGAGCATAATTAAATGGCTTGTAATTGTAGCTACTTGCAGTAATTATCCATTAATTAATTGTTTAAATTGAAGCTACTGCTGATCTGGCTCAGTTGCCCCAATTAACAGAGATCTCCAAATCATGGAGTTGTATTTGTCTCCGTGCTGAACTCTGATATATGGGTAGTTTACTTTCTGCTTCCAAGTCTGGAATGTGCTCTTAAGCCCTTCCTTAGAGACATGAAATGTCCTCCATAGTTCCTGCAATTACTGTGTATTTCAGAAACACAAACTTAGAAAAGGAGTTTATCTTGTTACTTTGAAGGAGAGCTACAGGTCTTTACAAAATAACAAAATCCTGACAAAATTCTCCCCTAATTCCTTGTCACACATTGAGCTGTCCTGCTTGGACTTAAATCAACTCAATACATGGGATAGGGGGAAAACTGCTCATGGCTCTGAAATACTTCTCTGAAATACCCCTCAGTTGGTAGGAAAGAAGTTTTTTTGAGAACATGATTCAGAAGTTTTGAGCAATCTTGGAAAATAAATAAACTGTTTTACATGGTCTATAAATATCAACCAACTTACTCTGATGTCAGGCAAAAATGTATGTGGCTCCTAAATACTATTATGGAGGGGAGTAGGGTTTTATGCCTAAGGGATAATAATTCAAATGAGTTAAAATGCAGAAGTTTTAGGAAATAGTTTATACATCACACTCAACATAGGTGAGATATAATTCATTGCACTTCAGTCCTGTACAGCTTTATGTGCACTGACACAATCCTGTTTGCCTGGTCTGTCTCAATTGTGCCAAGACTAGTCTCCTTTTTTTATCCTCTTTCCCAACACAGCTTTCCATAAAGAATTGTAACTTGCATAAAACTTGCCTTTTATGCAGTCATTTGAGATTGTAGTATATTTCTTTTTCATATATTATTCAGACCTAAAGTTCTTCACCTTTTCTATCCTCTTCATTTTCCACTCATGGTGTACATGTATAAGGCATAATATTGCTTTTCAACGGTACCTGAGCTCAGCACAGGGCTAGAACCAGAATAAGTGTCCTAGTGGGTTACTCTGCTTGGGGAAAGGGCACCTGTTTCTCTTCCCTAGAAGAAAGGCTCCTAAAGCCCTGTGAAAATAACCCTGTGTACTGTATAAGTGGATGAAACTTTGGTTGTAGACTTCTGTAGCACATGCAAAGGGACATTGATCACGTCTTTAACATGTTGTGCGTTTTAAATGTTACTTCTCCCCTTCGTATTTTGACTTTTTTTTGCCAAGTGCTTTACTCCCTTCAACGCCCATAACATTTTTTCTAATAGCTCAGTGTGCTTTGAAGATGAGAGGAGGATTTGGACATCAAAATGTTTTAGAATTTGGTCATATTTGACATTTAAGGAAATGAGGCTCTGCACTCATTGCCAAGGCTTAACAAAGTGCAGACTTTTCATACAGTAATAAAAAAAATTTTCACTGAACTGCAAGCTCTCAGTTGTTCATAGTTAAAAATTAAAATGTCACACTGTTTACCCAAGACTTTTTTAATACATTACAGATTAAATTCTTACAGAACATTAAAAATTATAAAGGCTGCTAAGTGTCAATTGAGTTAAAAAATAACATTTGCGGCTGGTTTGTTTTTTTCTTTAATAGTACTAGTCAGATTTTTCCTGATTGTTGCAGTTACCATTGGTTTAAACTGTTAAAATGGGTTTAAGATTAAGAGAGTACACAGTATTTTCAGTGTGTGCAATAATTTGGGTGAAATGCATTACATTTTCACTGTGATTATCCCCCAAATAAATAAAATGAACCTAGAGAATACAGTAATACAGTTGGCATTAAAAGAAATGTAAGTATGTTAAGCTGTGAAAACACTTGCACTCAAGCAGCAAGTACTGATTAGATTACTCTGCTATTTATAGTCCCTCGTTAAACTTAGCCCTGCAAGAACCATTCCACATCTTTATTTTTCACCTGTAGCTTTGGGGTTCGTTTTGCAGAGCAGAGTCCAGGTTGTTGGGGTTAATCAGGATATGGCAGTCAGTTTGAAAAAGCTTTTTTTGTTTAAAGATGGGAAAAGCACCTTTCTTCTTGCTGAAGAAGAAATGTTGAGTGATGGAGAAAACAGGAAACCTTAATGCTACAACAGTAAATGCACTGTCCAAATGCAGGCAAGGGGCCTGGATTTCATATGTATGTATAAACACACATATATATATGCACGTTTTACTTTATTGGAAGTCAGGGTTACATTATTTTCCATTAAATGTCATCTTTGAAAAACATGAAGTGTTTGTCTGAAGGATGTCAGGGCATAAGTTACAGGCTGTTTCTGTGTAAATCCAACCCCTTTCCTTAAAATACTATGTAAAACAACTACGTGATATCTTTTCTTGGAAAGTCCTATGTCAAACTGCAGTAGAGATTTCAAGCTCCAGACAGACAACAGTCAGTTTAAAATGAGACCCACAAATGTGTTTCAGGTTCAGATGTACATTTTTCGCTGTGCATAAGATTAAAATATTCCTATACTGCCTATTGTGATCCCAGCACCATAATTTTGCTTTATCACTGTTGAAGAGTGTTACTAGTAAGTGAAATTTCAGGTATTTTGCCCTTTATGCCCTTTCACTTCCATGTATTGAATATTTTTAAATTTACAAAACCTTCTAAAATCCTGGTGCCCAGCAACCTTCCTCTGTATGGTGCACTGGCTTTAGTCATCATCCTGCATAAAACAAGATATGCTTAACAAAACCATGCTGACAATGCCTATTCAAAATGTGAGCTGAGCTGTGGGAAGGGAAGGTTCAGGAGATCTGTGGAATGAACAAACTAGTTCCCTGCTCTTGAAGAGAGAGGTTTCCTTGTGTCCATGGCCATCTGAGATGAACATTCAGCTTTATGTCTCTGTAACTAGCAAAGGTTCAGAGGGGTGTCCTGCGCTCTGCTGGACTGCTCTCCACCTCCCTTGATACTCCTCCAGTGACAGGTGGGCTTCCCATTGTCTTTCCCACTTTCTGTTCTCCCCAGGGTTTTCTCTGGGCTGTGTGGGAAAAGGGCAGAACTATGACCTGCAAGCAGTGGAATGTTCTTGGGCAATTTCCCCCCTGTGCTCCTTCACTGCTGCTTCTCTCACAGAGAACTTCACGGTCAGGAACTTTTGGGTGGAAATCTAATGGGAATTGGCAGAGCCTGGAGCTCACCCACAACAGATAACATATGCTGGGATGTCATGTCTTTGAACCAGATGTTCAGCCAAACCCTAGATCTGGTATCTCTGGAGACAATCACATTCCAGCCTCATCTGCAGCCTTCACTCTGCCCACTCCGAGTGACACCTCCACCCATATCTGACAGAATTCACAGATCACAGAGAGCTCTGAGCAGATCCCACACACTGGCATACGATGAGAAAGCAGGAGGCTGTGTCAGCACTAAGGCAGAATTTGATTTTCAGGTAGGCTTCCTGAACACTGGCTCCTTTTCTTCTTCTGGACTTGAACCGCTCCAGAGTTGCCAGATACCAGTTACTCTTTCCTTCAGGATTTCTCCTTGCATACTGTCTCTGCCATGCCATGTTTTTACCCTACAATTTTAGGGACCCAGTATACGCTCGATCACCTTGCAGAAATAGAACAACTCGCCATGGTTATGCATGATTGAAAGCCTGCTTTCTCTCAATGTGAACTGTAACACCAGGTGATGCAGCTCTCCCGAGTACACAGCGCTGCTTGGAGATAATGATACAGTTCTGTAGGATACATTATACAAAGTGGGAAACATTTCTTCCATCGAGTTGCTTACTCAGATGGAGTATGACAGAAACAGACTGCTTAGTATTCTAGATGACATGTTGCAGAGTGTTTGATGTACCTGTTTACTCCCCAGTGTTTGAGTGCAGGCACATGCTCTGCTTTAGGAGAGGTTCAACACCAACATATAAGATCATACCAAATTTACAAAAATTTGTGGAGAGTGAATATTTTGAAACAATGAAATTCTTCTTCAACTGTAATATGGAATTAAAACAATGGATGTTACTAAACATGAGCATACTTGTTGAATTATAATTCACACCAGTCTGGTTCCCCATGCTGCTACAAACAATTATCTCCTACAAGTGACTGTAATCCAGCTGGGCCAGGGTTGTGTTCAGCTCTCTTGTGGCGGTGTTATTTCTGGTTTTGCTTTCTCAATCTGCTGCTTTTCTTATGCAATGTACAGCTTCTCTTCTTTCTCTGAAAAGGTCTTGGAGCTCCTCCCAGTCCTGGGGTAGCTAGGAGAGAAGTAGAAGGTAACATAACAATTTTTGTATTTTAGAAACAGAATTCTAATTTAGTACCTGATTAATACTATTGCCCTTGTGATAGTAAAGGTAGTTTCGTGAAAGTATTTATCATGTGGAATCTTTCTTCTTTTATTTAACATAGTTTTCAGACAGCCAAGTTGCTTCCTGGTTTTCGGTGATGGTGGGAATTGTTATAGAAGGCATTTATGAAAAATGAAGTGAAAACTTAGAGTGTCCTAATCAAGAATGCTTTCCAGACTGACTCTCAAAGGAAGCTGGTGCTGACTGATCACTAGAGTGACTGCTATACCTGAAACTAAACCTGGAATTTTGGGAGCCTGACTTTTCATAAATAACTACATATGTTCATGTATTTTGGAGAGAGAAAATTCCATTTAAACTATTTAGTCTACAATTTAATATTTTGTCTCTTTCTAAAGAGCACAGCGATAGCTAACTGTGTGTGATATACAGTTATGAGAAGCATTTCTCTTACACATTCTAACTGGAGTATGTATGAACAGTGCTTGATGGGTCATGCTGTAGCCATGCCAGCACAGTCAGGGCTTTGGGTTTCTTCTTAGCACCACAGGAATTTGTTCTTTGCAACAAATATAGGTATGGCAATACTACAAGTCCTAATATAGTCACAGTCAGGATGTCCTCCTGTATTCTACAATTAACTTTGGCCATATTGCTGGTTTATTTTTATAAATTGGCAAAATCACCCTATGCATAGAATAGTCAAGGTTGGAGGGGACCTTTTAGTGACTATCCACTCCATCTTCCTGCCCCAAGGAGGGTAAACTGGCACCAGCTTACTCCAGGTGGGAGTTGCATCACTGAGAGCTGTGCCCAAAAACCCATTCCAATGGTTCTGAGGTTATTTGACACCCAGAAGCTGTCTTATGCACCAGAGTGTTCCTTCCACTTACTGTCACTGGCATGGTGGTTTTGCCTTCCTGGGAAATAAGCCACAGAAACACAAGCCAGAATCTCAAACCTCTTGGCCTGTTAAAAATTGTGCACTTGTCTGAGCTAAAGGTAATTTTTTCATCTCTTGCACTTCTCAACTTGGACGTTGCATTATAGTGACAAGGTTGTTATTAGCATCAGCATGGCCACAGTGAGGCTGGTGGTCTAAGAGATTTATCTTAGAGAGAAGGGCCAGGAATTATGTTACATCAGCTCTTTTTGTTTTAAAGACTACTGTTAGGACATCTGCAGAATATACCATAAACCAAAACAACTTCTAGCATAATTGAGAACACGGGGCACCTGTACAGGTGGGCATCTTTACCTTGCAATGAACAGGAGGTAATTTGACTTAATTTGTAATTAAAAGGGTCAAATTATTCCATGTGTGGCATGGGATAGGAGTGTGTTATAGTGACAGCTGATGGATAGACTGTGATATGTAACAACTTTTTAAAAAATCAGTGGTCTCTCTTTGCTCCCATTCTCATTAGTGGTAATGTAACATTGCCATCTAATACCCATTTGTGGCTTATCTAACACAGATAATCTAATTTTTTTTCCATGCTTCAAAGCACAAAAAAGTCCTGGAACACAAAGAAAAGATAACTTAGGTAATACATTTACATGCTTTGTACTAATTATAATAAAGAGAGAAGTTGATTTTGAAATATGTTCTAAGTCAGCAATCTCTAATATCTGTTGCAGTTCGTAGTCACCCTCCACCTTCAGCAGGCATGAGCAGACCGGTAGGTATTCTATCTTACAATAGTTCTCCTCCTAAGTTTATGCTGTTTGTTAGGTCAACTTTTCTGTAGGTCATAACAGATGTGACAAATTTGCAAAATTGGCTGGTCAGTTTACAGCTTCTATAAGTTAATTCCCTCAGCAATTCTTGTCTGTTGACTAAAAATACTCCAGAATATATATAGATATATATATACTGGAACTGACTTGATTGTTTTGCACTCTTTACAATTATGTAACAGGCTCCCAAATAATACACATCTCCTTTCAAATAACCACCAAGTTACTCTTTGTATTATATGTCCTTGCTGATTTGGTATGATAAAATGTATTATCTTTTATGCTGAAATGTAAATCCTGACACCAGTTAATTCCTTGCAGCCGTTAATGGATTACCCGGGCAGTTGATATATTATGATTATTTGATGCCTTATGGGATTTTGTACCTTGTTTTAAAAATTAATTTTGATAAAGGTCTTCATGTAAAAAGGAAACATTCAACTAGTACAACAAATATTAGTTCTGTGTTTCTTTCCTTTATTTATGGAAATGAACTGAAGGAAGGGAAATAAGGATTTATAGGTGCTCAATGCTTCACCTCTAGCAAGAACTCAAGAGATGGAAAACATCTGCCTTATTTTTATTAACAGCAGCATGCAGGAGCCTTTGTGTTTGGCTTATCATTAAAGAATTACTAAGAAATGGGATTGTTTGCTGATAATTCTCTAAACTTTGCAGCATATTCCAGTATTACAACTACTGCAAACTACTGTTTCAAACTACTGTTTGCAGTAGTCCATTGAAGTAATATTGTGCTAATTCATTTTTTCTCAAAGACATTATTCATGATCTCGGCTCTTTTTTGTTATTTTCCCAGAAATATAAAGCAGCTTCTTCTAAAATCTGGATAAAGAAAACCTGGTATACACAGCAAATAAGAAAATCTGGTGTACAAAAGAGACTTCACCAGTGTCTTGGAACTGGCATAAGTGCAAGAATTTTTGTTCATATTATCAAGACAGAAAAAAATCCCCAAGCAAAACAAACAAACAAAAAAACCCCCCTAAACCCCAACAAAACAAACAAACAAATGTAATAGAAGATCTGACAAAACATGATGCTTGCCTCTTCTTTTCCCCTGAAGTCTGGGCATTCTTTTTCCAGTGCCTTGTATCCAGGTTTCAGTGTGGTGTTTGTAATTCACTCATTTCAGCTGTAATCTGGAATAACTTCCTACTTCTCTCCAGCCTTCAAATGAGGCAGAGTGTATGTTTTATCAGTACTGTTTGTTGAGGAACAAAGTAGCTGCTGTTGTAGGTTGTGTTGCTTACAGCAATTCACAGACTTAGGTAAATTATCTTATTAATACTAGCAAAATAATAACTGCTTCTAGAGTCCTGATTATCCCAAATCATTTAGCAGTAGATGACTACAGATCCAAAGTAGAGCTAAAATACTTTCTTTTTACCCCTTATCATGTCAGACTGTTCCTCCTCGAGCTGGAGTTATCAGTGCCCCACAAAGCCATGTCCGTTCCTCGGGGGGAAGACCAGTACCTGAAACTCAGACCAAACCAGCTGAACCACCACGGGGTAAGTTTCCTTTGTAAGTTAAATATAAATGTCACAATTCAGTCAAGAGATACAGTCTCTGGTTTGAATGCATTGTTTTCCAATAGATGTCTCCACTTTTCACTAGAAATTAAGATTCTTGAATGTAGTAACACTTGGCAGTTTCTGTTAATCATCCACACGTACTGTAAACTCTCACCAGATAATAATCTCAAGATCACCTGAGATCTTGACCCGTGGATTTCCTGGTATCAGGAGAAGCTATGATCAGAGTGTTTTGGTCTGGGCATGGTGATGTGTCCCTTCATGTTGATCACTGGACATTCTCTGGATTGTAGTTCTGTAATTGTAAGATCTGGAATAGAATTTGTTTGACTCTTAAAGGCACTTTCTAAATTCACAGTTTAACAAAAACCCTTCATTAATATTAAAATATACATTTTACAGTAGTGACTTCCAAAATACTTTTTCAATACTGCTGAAGTACATTTAGGAATGACATGGCTTCTGGTTCTCTGTTTTGTATAGAATCACAGAATGGTTTAGGTTGGAAGGAACCTTAAAGCTCATCCAGTTCCACCCCCCTGCCATGGGCAGGGACACCTTCCATTAGCACAGGTTCCTCCAAGCCCTATCCAACTTGGCCTTGGACACTTCCAGGGATGGGGCAGCCACAACTCCTCTGAGTAACCTGTGCCAGGGCCTCACCACCCTCACACAGAAGAATTTCCTCTCAATATCCAATCTAAACTTGCTGTTTCAGTTTAAACTATAATAATAATTTGTAATGGAGATCTGCTGAGCTTCTGATGATTTCCAGTCTTGTTGCCATGAACACTTGCTCTTCTTAGAGCCACCTGCAGTTCTCTCTGGTGCTTCCACAGCCATTTGTCCTCATCATGCCATCCTTAGGACTTCTGTTACAATTCTTTACAATGAAAATCACTCCAAATGTACTTTTAGGCTCACCATTGCTTCCTGAACCATTAAAGCCTCAGGCTGCTGGCCCTGCTCAGCCCAGCACTCCCGTGCTAAGGATGCAGGAGCCCCTGATTCCTGTGGCATCACATCCATCTCAGGCAAGTGCCCCACAAAGCCTGGAACCCCCACAGCCGCCTCCTCGTAGCCGATCCTCTCACAGTTTGCCTTCTGAACCTGCTCCATCCCAGCAGCAAGTAAGTCAAAACACTTCGGAAATACATTTTCTTTTATTATATAAATTAACATAGCTTGTTCTGAATGCTGCAGACTTGTAAGAAACTCTTAAAGCAAACACATAAATGAAAATAAAGGTCAAAAGAGTGGATTCAGAGGTCGTCAGGTTCTAGTAGGGTAATAATTGCTTATGTATTGTCTGTGAATAACTAAATACTAAATTTTTAGTATTGTCCGTGAATAACTAATACTAAACATTTAACTTAGGGTTTCTTGTGACAGTCTTATGACTTAAGGAGATCTCATTCTTAAAATTATGTTGACATCTGGCAACTTTTTGTGAAAAAAAGAAATTTAATTTTATAATGACACTTGCATGACATAAGTAGCAAGTAAGATTAATAAGTAGCTAACAGGTTTTGAATAAAGTCATTGCATGATGTGGTGCTTTATGTTGATGATCATTCATTGGTGAAAGACAATACTGATAAATACTTAACAAAACCAGATTCTTCCCCATTCCCCAGTGTCAGTTAAAATATAGAAACATATCAAAGTAGTGTGAAAATTTCATCCAGTAACATTAACATTTTGTTCTGTGGGACGATTTAGAATGTTATTATAAAAGAACACCAACTTTTTCTAGGGAAAGCCATAGTTTCTTCCTACTGCTTAAAAATGCAGAATCAGGTTTTCAGTGCTGCTCAGATTTTTGCTTATGCCTACACCTGAAGACCTCTTTTGCTACAGCAAGTAGTTAATGCCTATTTTGTACCATAGCAAAGCAGCTAAATTCAGTCCTTGGTGAGTTGATTTTGCATTCAAATTTTAAAAAATCTTTAAATGCTTTACCTTTCTTTCTGCTGAACCTCTCTGTCTGCCTGTTAACCATTTTTCATTTTGGAAACTTAGGCCAAAAAATACAGAATTTTCTGAGGAAATTTTTTTAAATAAATACAAAGTCTTTTGAGAGGTAGTGGATTCCAAGCCCATCTTTCTATGCAAATCTCGATTGTGGTATTGAAGAAACTGAATCTCTCCTTATAAAAAGAATTGCTTTTATACAGTGTGAATATTCAGGATTCTATAGATTACCAAGCAGTATATTAAAAGAGAGAGTTAGTTATTTTAAATAGATGTTATTTATTGTAAAGTAAGGAGATTTTAGTTTTCAACAGAATGGGAAGCCTTATGGTTTTTCAGCTTGAAAAACTGTTACTATAGGTGAGTGGCTATCCCAACACAGTTCCTAGAATGAGAGTTATGGGGCTTTTCCTGTTAATAGATGGTTAGAATTAGACCATCAATGCTCAAATTCTTGTAATCCATCTCCAAAAAAATAGCTCAGTCAGCTGCACAGTGAGTCTCTGTATGGAAAAAACTCAGAATGGGCTTGAGTTGGTTTTTTGATTCATAATGGTCAAGCTTACAGTAGAATACAACAGAAATTCAGAATTTAGTGTATAATAAATACTTACAGTTTGTATTCATAGCTCAAAAAATGGCTTTGTGAAAATTTGTGTAAGTATTTTTAACATGAGGTTGCTTTGTTACTTGGATTTTCTTCCTAACTTTCTTTCCTTTGATGTCTGTTTCTCTTTCACAAGCAGGAGCAACCGTCAGGGTAACAGGTATCTGACTATTTACCAATCTTGTACGTGGTCTCCATCTACTCAAGCAGAAAAGATGTATGAATCTTGTTTTCATACATCTGCAGTCCCATCCATGTTAAAAACCACCTGTCTGCATTCATGGATTGACTGTCATACCATAGTTTGCTTTTCCCTTTCATAATGCATTTAAAAGTGAGACTGCATTTATTAGTGCCAGAGCAAATATTTTGCTTCATCATCTTTTATGAAACAATTGGACCCTCACCTATGTTGCTTAATCACTGCTGAATCTCCTGGTTTCAGTCTATTTGGGGAAAAAAAGATCAGTGTTGGCAGTAAATATTCTCTTAAGTGCAAAATTTTTTTCAAAGTAAACCCTACATTTCACATTTTTCGAAGAATGGAGAACTTACTACTACCCAAAGTAAAATAAGTGGTTTGTTACAATTTTAAAGGCATTTGGTTCCAGAATTATTCAGAGCAAATTTTTACTTACAGTAAAGAGCAATTGGGATTCATAGTTTCTTTGGGATCTTGCACTTCAAATGACTGCAGGACTTAACCAGCTGGTGCCCAGCTGCATTTGTTTTCTATTCTTTCTGCAGTTCTGTTTGTCACATTTTCCCCTCAGTTACTCAGTGCCTTTGGTTTAATATTATTCTGCAGAACACTGACTATATATACACCCCATTCAAGCTACAACTGAAATTTTTTTAAAATAAATTGTTATGCTGCATACACTGGGGAAAACTTGCAATATTATTATTATTATTCCCTAGAATCTCTAAAGGCTGTAGATTAATTTTGTGGAGCTGCTTAGGTAGTGGATGTGTGGAGACACACTTCAAACTATGCACAATAAATGCAGTGAACCCAAGATGGATAAAGATGGAGGTTAGGCTGTAGTAATACAAAAACAGTTCAACAAAACACTAGTTAACAGAATTTTCAAGCTAAATACCCAAACTCTTTGGGTATATTAAGGTGATATGTTAAAATGACAAACTTTTTTGTGAAATTTGAATTCTCAGGAGCTGTTTTAACTTAAGCTCAATTCATTAAAAAAGGGGAAGCTCCAAACCCTGTTCTGTCAGTATGCTGACTGAAAAAGTAGATACTCCACCTTTTTGGACAGTTCTTACAAGGTAAAAAAGTTGCATTGTTGTTTGAAGAGATGTAAAAAACAGGAATATGTTTGTTTTTAAAAGCTGAGAAGTTCTGTGGAGAAAACTCTGTCTTCTCCATTCAGTATTATACTAAACAAGGATAACTGGCCATTTTAAAATATGAAACCAGTCCCTTCCCATGCCAGGAAGCACTGGAATGCCTACGGATGCCTGTGTCTGCCTAGAAATGTCTGACATGCACATACTAATGACACTAATGTTTCCTTCCATTGTGATTCTTAAATACTGCTTGTAACATCGGTGTGACAAACAATGTAACCTGGAGGTCTTTGTTTTGTAGCTGTGCTGGGTTATCACTTGTTTAGAATACAGTAGCATTTCCCAAAGATTTTCTTATCCAACATTCACTTGGACTTGGTGCCTTTCACTGGAATTCTGACCTGTAGGAAGTCGATTCCAGCTGTGTTGACCACCAGTGTGGTGTTTAATAACTCATAGGCTTTTTCTCAGAGAAGGGATTCAGGGTTGTTGTTTCCATTCTAGTTACAGCTGAATTGTGTTGAAGTTTCAGCTGGAAGAGTGAGAAAGGGCAGGGTCAGGAATAACCTGGAATCAGCCACAGGATTTCTGAGCACGTTGTTTCCTTTGCAGCTGAAACCCAACTGGACGAACAGCCCCGACTCCCAGCTCAGCAGTGACCCTTTTGAAGACCTGTCATTCCAGCTGCTCATGTCCCAGATGCAGACATGTGTCCGAACATCACCCGCTCCAACCTTAAGCCAGGAGTTGACACCTTTGCCTTCAGCAGCACAAAGAAACGCTGATAATTTGAATACTATAAACTGCATGCCAGCAATGCCTCCTGTTCCAACCTTCCACTCATCCCAGGAACATAAGCGCACCTCTCCAAATCCATTTGTTACTGGGCTGAACTGCGCAAATCCATTCACTGAAAGGACTCCTAATGCTGGGAACCCGTTTAGGATGGAAACGCAAGGGTCCGGAATAACCTCACAGGTATGGGAAGGACCTGCAGTTTCCCATCCTTTCCCTTCCCTGCCCCGCCCCAGCTGTAACACAGCCAAGCCTCTATTTTCTGTGGGTGCAGCTGAAAACACGTTTTGCTTGCCAAGTAAATCTCTCAAGGCAGAAAATGTGCAGCCCAAGGGGTGGGTGACATTTGATGAGGACGAGAACTTCAATCTGAAGCTAAAGCCATCTACAAGTGTCCCGGATTTTCAGAGACTCGGCTCCAGGAAGTCAGCTGGATCTCCAGGTTTGCTGGGCACTGAACAAAAGACTTTCCTTGGTTCAGACTTTAACTTTGGTGATGACTGGAATAAAAGCTCTACTGATTGCTTCTGTGCAATGCCAGCAAGGAGACCCCCTGCACCCCCTGTACCATCCAGAGCAACCAGCAACAGGTCCCCTGCAGATCCCTTCGCCTCCTCAGCACCCCAGGTGTCACCAACTCATGATTTTACAGAAAGATAGTTGTTCAAAGATACAACAGGTTGTATTTGTTGCTACATTTATCCAGTAGAATAATTGGGTATTTGAGATTATTCTGTGTGCAATAATTGTTAAATGCACTGAAACTTAACTCTACTCATAAACAGCCACTATTGCTTGTGTATAAATTTTGAATGTGTATATATGGTAGAGCACAAAAAATTGTCTGAAATTTATTAAAATCCTGATGTAATAGTATTTGGACAGACAGGAAAAGAGAAGAAGGATGAGCTACTGATCTCATTAAAATCTACCAATCCTGGACATGGATTTTGCTTAGGGAGCTCTCTCATTTCTGGTCCCCCTTGTGGAATTCCACAGAAAGAGGCTCCCTGCTGGTAGCCTCCCCCCTCCCTTTTGACTGTTTTGTTAATTGTATTTATAAGTATTTACCAAAGAGCTGCCAAAGTTTATTGAGATTTGAATGTTGAAAAGTATTGTTTAGAAGTTGTTTTAATTTATAACAGAGGCTATGGATATTTGTAAGGCTTATATTTGAATTTGAGGCACAAAGAAAGTAGTTTACTTTCAAAATACAAACAAAACTTGGCATATTAATATATTCAACTAATTTTCTGTGTCAGTACATTTCAGCTATTAAATCCTATTGTGACATACATTCACTAGCACTAATTCAGAATAATTGTTCCATATCATCTATTTATTCATTACTATTTTAACTATTTTTTTTTTCCCAGAAATTAGAAACAGCATATAGAAAAAGTTTTCCCTCAACCTCTTGAAAAAGATTCCCCTTGGGTTTTGAGATGCAAAGCAGTCTTTACCAGTTGCAGACAATTACAGTCTACCAGCCAGGGAGTGAAACAACACACTAACGTTGTATTTACAGTAGCAAAATACTCCAGGGCAGTGCGCTTTTTAAACTCTCCAGTGCTATCAAGACATGATCTATAAAATGACGCATTGTTCCTTTGAGCAGTCCCTGGTTAACCATGAGCTGCAGCTGTGTAGGGCAGTGACAGTGAGTTTTATATGGCGCTTTTTTCTGTTCAGGTCCCTCAACTTGTACATTTGGAACAGCAGTGGTACCGTTTGTGCTTCGGTGTGTGAGTTACCTTGTTTTACGCTGTTACTATAAACATCTGTGTGATCAGTGTTTTGGTATATTCCTACATTGGCAAGCCAATTTTGGGGGGAAACTTTTTGCTGGTGGGAGTCACGTGATAAATATGTTGTCGAATATCTAACTGCAGTGATTAAAAACTACTGTCTGAACTGTACCTGGTGTTAGGCACCTCTGCACTTCACAGGGCTGTGGGACTGGAGCAGCACCTGCAGGGACCACTGGGAATGCTCTGGAATTCCAGTATGTCTATAAATATATATATATACACAAATATATATATATATATATATATAGGTAAGCTATAATAACGCCGTGACGTGTGTTGTTGGATGGGAGCGATGACCAGCCCTGAAAACAGGAAGGATTACAGTGTGATGTGACGCGCTCCCCACGTGTCACGGGGCGCTGTTCCCGGTGCTCCCGCACACCTGTCCGTGGCTGTATCCCCCTCCCCGGGGACACCCAGGTGTCCATGAAGCGAACGTTCCTGCCCCGTGGTCCGGGTGCTCGTTTCTCTCTCTGGGGCCGCCGGCCCTGGGGCCGCCGGCCGGGGTGCGCGGGCCCTTTAAGGGGCGCCCCGGTGGCTTCCCGGGAGGGCCGGAAGCGGAAGCGCCGCCGTTGAGGCAGCTCCGGAGGGTCCCGGCGGATCCGGAGGGTCCCGGTGGATCCCGGGGGTCCCGGTGACAGCGGGGGCGGCCCCGGGAGCGGCCCCGCCGTGCCCTCAGCGCGTCCCGGGGCGCTGGGCGCGGCCGTCACCCCGCGTTGGCTCCTCTTCGCCGGTATCCAGGGACGCGGCCCCGTTGCTGAGGGGCTCCGCCGGGCCCGGCCATGGTGCGGCTGCACGTGAAGCGCGGCGGCGAGAGCCAGTTCCTGCTGGAGGCGCCGGGCAGCGCCCGCCTGGCCGAGCTGGCGCCGCTTGCCGCCCGCATCCACAACGGGCGGCTGAAGGTGCAGCGCCTGTGCTCAGGTACCGCCCGGGAACGGCGCCCGGGCACCGGCTGGGCAGCGGGAACGCGCCTCCTCCTCCTCCTCCTCCCTCAGCAGGGCGGTGACCGCCCACCGAGACCGCATGGGAATTCCCGGCCTTGGGATTTTAGTGCGGGCAGTGCATAGGGCTGGAAACGGACCCGCTACGTGAGCCTGTAGTGGCTGCTTAAATCAGGGGCTGGAAGGGACTTAAACGTCCAGTTCCACCCTCCGCCACGGGCAGGGACACCTCCCACTAGACCACGTTGCTCCAAGCCCGGTCCAGCCTGGCCTTGAACATTTCCTGGGATAGGGCAGCTATAGCTTCTCTGGGCAGCCTGTGCCAGGGCCTCCCCACCCTCACAGGGAAGAATTTCTTCCTCATATCTCATCTAAATCTACTCCCCTTCAGCTTAAAGCTATTCCTCCTTGTCACTCCATGTCCAAAGTTCCCATTTTGGCAGTGGAAAGGACTCCTTTGTGACCAGCAGCGTCCCTTTACACGTGAATGACACTGTTCCCTACCACGTGCTTGGTGCAAAGCATCCCCTGTCATGTGATGGAGTGGCTGATGTGTCTGAATTGGTGCTGAGTTTAGTTCTGAGGCAGTTTTAAAAAATATTTCCTGCCCCCTGCGGGGCTGCCAGAGCTGAGATTCCCCTCAGGTGAGCCTGACCTGGGGGGTGCAGCCCACCCTCACCTCCTGTGCTCCAGCCACTGGGTTTGTGGCATCTGAGGCCTTACTGAGCCTGCTCTGAAATTTAAAAGAAAAAAATCAGCTAAAGCTGATTAGGGAAATGCCAAAAAGAAAAGTGTTGTGGCCAGCAGGTACCATCGAGGCTTGAATCCCTGCACGTGTATTTGTTATATTTTTGAATATGTATGGGAAATGTATGAATTTTGACATACCTACAGCATCTGTATTTATCTATGTGTCTTTATATCCCTTAATATTTATTCCCTGTACTCAGCTGTTTAAACTGAAGGCTGGGGTTAAGGTTTGCCTGCATGCACATCATGTGAAAGGCTTTTGCAAATGGTCTGTAATAACAAAGACTTTTAATCTTGTTCTCTAAACACTCAAAAGAGATGGAGGAGCTGGCAGACCATGGTATTTCCTTGCCTTACAATATGCAAGGACTGACAGATGAGCAAATTGTAGAGCTGAAGTTAAAGGATGAGTGGGCAGAGAAGTGTGTCCCAAGCGGTGGGAGCATCTTCAGGAAGGATGAAATGGGACGGAGAAATGGGCATGGTAAGTCAAGTGTAAAGATTTGTTTCTTTCCCTGCAGACACAGACCATCTATAACAGACTCCTAATTCTGGACCTGAGTAGCCAAAGTATCAGTTACATACCCAGGAGTTCTATCTTGGGTTAGGGCCTGAGGTAATACTGATTTAAAAGCCTACAGAGCAGCATATCTCTTCAGCACACAAACAATCACCAGTAACAAGTTGGAGTGTCCATTGTAATTTACTTTCCCCATTTGAAAATGTAAACTTGAGAACTGGTTTTCTCCAGAGACTCCAGGATATATCAACAGGTTGTTTTTCTAATATTTCTCCTTTTTTCTCATTGACTGGGACTCAGACTCACTGAACATGTGTTTGTTAGTCAGAGGACAGCTTTATAATGTTGACAAATTCAGAATATTGAACGGGGCCAAACCAAATGCCACCAAGGACCTAAGTGGGAAATAAGCTGGGAATGAGTATGCTTTAATTGGATTTTTGTATTTGAGGACAGGCTTTTTATAGCATTTAAAACAGGTAAGTGTGATGTGATGTGAAATGAACAGAGTATTTGCAAAACTGCCTTTGCTGTTAGATTGAGATTTTTAATTAGAAAAAAACTCAGAACACTGTGAGCTGTTGTGTGCAGTAAAAGCACATCTGCCAGTGTGGTTCCCAGTAGTCCAGCAGGGAAAGGGCTTTGTTTTATGTTGTGGAGGGTATGGGATTATGGTTGTTGCTTTCTACTCAGTACCTTTGTCCCAAATGAAGTTCCCAGTCACAGAATTGTGAAATCACAGAATGGTTTGGGTTGGAAGGGACCTTAAAGCTCATCCAGTTTCATCCTCTGCCATGGGCAGGGACACCTTCCGCTAGAACGGATTGCTCCAAGCCCTATCCAGCCTGGCCTGGAACACTTGGGGATGGGGCAAATACCAGTCACATGTCTTTGGGGAAATGTAAGTTTGGCTGTCCCATGAGAAATACTGTTTTGTCTTGTAAATTAGTGAGAAATACGGGAATGGACAATCCAACTCATAAATAGGCTGCAGCTTAGGAGTGTCTCTCCTGTTTTGTGATTCAACACTGTTTCATTTGCTCACAGTGGATTCTGGACAGGTTATGTGCTTAGTTTCTTTACAGTAAGTGTGGACCATGAAATATGTGTCTCTTATTTTCAGCTCCAAATGAAAAAATGCAGCAGGTTATAAAGAAGACAATAGAGGAAGCCAAGGCATTAATCTCTAAGGTAAATTTCCTCAAGTGGTATGTGGGGCTTTCTTAAGAAGTGTTGTGGGGTTGGGCAGCTTAAATAAAACCAGATTTCTTTCAGTGCAAGGGCTGCCAGCTCTTGAGAAATACCATGTAGTGATGTGAATAGTCTAATAAAAACTGACATCTCTGTTAATTATTTCCTTCGTGGCTTTTGGCAAGCTGGTTCAACAGGTTAAGGAATCAGATCCTAAACTCCAAGTGAATGCTGGCAGCCGAGCCCACGTGGAATGCTTAAATCGCACTCAGGGTTTCCCAACAATTTGCTATTGATGTGTTCTTTGAGTGAATACTTGTCATGCTTTCTGGTGAAAAATTAACTGGGTTCTGTGCTCTTCCTGGAGTCAACACAGCCTTTTGTGTTATATATATACTTAATTGAAAAAGGTGTTCTAATCTCTTAGATTATGACGGAATGGTTTGGGTTTGAAGGGACCTTAAAGCTCATGCAGTTCCAACCCTTCTGCCACAGGCAGGGACACTTTCACTAGACCTGGTTGCTCCAAGCCCCATCCAGCCTGGCCCAGGGATGGGGCAGGGATTAGGCCTTGGTTTGACAAGCACTTGGACTCATGCTCAGTCCCAGTGAGTGTGTTCAAAGACAGGTGTGAGGCCCTTGTGGGATGGTGCTTTCGGGTATTCAGCTTCACTTTGCCAAATCTGTAGATGTTCCATGTTGTGTGTCAGCACTTGTATGACTTTGAAACACAAATTAAGTAATGTTTATTATAAAATTTTCTTGTTGAATGAAATTAAAGATAGTTCTAGAAGTGGTTTGTTATGTACATCACTTTATAATGATGAAAATGAAGAGATGTGCATTTTAAGTTTTACAGGCTAGTTAACCAGATCAAGAGTGTCCACAAGGAGGCAACATTCTCGTACCTTATTATTTAAAATACTGAAACTGTTGAATTCATAGAGAAAAGCTTTATTTCTTCTCTTCCAGATGTCTTATGTTTCTCCTTTATGCCTTGTGGTAGGGTTTGGAATGACCTCAAGTGTTTGATCATACAAGTCTCTTCAGTAGCTGTGCAGTAGGACAAGAGGGCACGGTCTTAAACTGTGCCGGGGAGATTTAGGTTGGATATTAGGAAGAAATTTCTTACAGAGTAATCAGACATTGGAATGGGCTGCCCAGGGAGGTGGTGGAATCACTCTCCCTGGAGGTTTTAAAGATGAGACTGGATGTGGCACTTGGTGCCATGGTCTAGTAACCACGGCGGTGTTGGATCAAGGGTTGAACTTGATGATCTCGGAGGTCTTTTCCAACCTGGTTGATTCTATGATTGATTCTATGAATATGCCAAGCTTTATGCTTCTGCTCACATGTGCTCTATTTTTTCTTTCAAGTTTTGGGCCCCTTCTCAATCTCTCACTTGAATTCTGCTGGTTTGAATCACATTCATGAATCACAAGTGCTTGGAACTGAAGCCTCTCTGTCTGATTTCTGTGGTCACACAGGCAGTTGGTGCTAAATGCCTCCTGCACAATTTAGTGGAGATCTCCTATTTTTGTTTCCTCCCCCACCCCATGAAGCAGGCTAAACAGAGGGGCCGAAGGGGAGTGATATTCTCCAAAATCCGTATTCCAACAAGGAAATTTGCATTTCTGGTATCTTTATACATTCCATTAGCTCTGCTCAGATATCCCACCTCTGAAACTTTGAACTGGCTACAAAGCAAAGTCTTCTGCAGGTTTGCTTAAATTACCAATGATCCCTGTCTGTATTTCAGAAACAAGTTCAGGCCAACGTGTGTATTAATATGGAGATGGTGAAAGATGCGTTGGAGCAGCTCCGAGGGGCTGTGATGATTGTGTATCCAATGGGATTGCCTCCACACGATCCAATTAGGATGGAGTTGGAAGATAAAGAAGACTTGTCAGGAACTCACGTATGCAGTAATGTATTCCCATTCTGTGTAGTCCCTGGGTTAAACTTGTGCTATGCTCTTCTCCATCTTATCAATGAAGGTTGTTTTCACTTGCATGACAAATTTTGTTTAATATTTTAGTCTCACAGTTTATGTAAAAACACACCAATAGCTTAACTAGAAATAAAATTATCGGAGTTTATTTCAAATGTTGCATACTCAGCACTCAGGTAAGTCTGGATCTCATTTTAAATAGCTTGTCACCTCCATGGAGAGCTGATTGCCCAAAGTATTCACATGAGATCAAGATTGAATGGAATATGGATGAATGCCATAGATGAGCATGAGGAGAAAGATGTAGCAGAAGTAGATTTTGAAAAAAAGCAAGAAACAAATAGAGCAAGAAACAACACCCCTAACACTTCACCTTGTTTGTATGTCACAGGCTGGACTTGAAGTTATAAAAGAATCAGAAGCACAGTTATGGTGGGCAGGAAAGGAGTTGCAAGAAACAAAGTTGCTGTCTGACTATGTAGGAAAAAATGAGAAAACAACCATCATTGTCAAGATCCAAAAAGTGAGTACTGGATGAATAGGAGATGTCAGTATAAGTTCGTCACCTTTGACTGTCTGTACTCTGTGGAAGAGAATTGTCCATAGGTGTCTAAAATGGATTATATTAGTCCTGGCTTGAGTCTCTTAAAATGGCACATCTATTTTAAGGTTTGAATTTATTAGATTCCAGATTTTTCTTTAGTAAATCCTTTGCCTGTCAGTTACGTCCTGTAACTGCTATTATTACTTGCTCCATAGCACTTTTGTGAAGTACAATGAAGAGGTATTTAAAAATAGATGAAATACAAATTGAAAAGTTTTATAGCAAATCTTGTCACCTACAGGTGTCTGCAGTGCATCCCTTGGAGATAAGTCAGGTGATTTATGTCTCTGTCATTTAGAAGACCAGAATTTCTTTCTCTTTCCTCTCAGGGTGACTGAAAAACAGTGTGGCAGTTTAACAGCCACTGAGGTGTAGGCTCCCAGGGAAGTTGTCTGTTTAATTAGTTGATGAACCTCTTCAGAGGATGTGGAGTAGTGCAAGGGTTTCTCTCTGCATAAACTGTCTCAGACACTTTTTGTTCTAGAGATCATTAGCCTTCTCCATGGAAGCTGCTCTGCTTGCTGTTGCTGACAGTAGCTGTTACCAGCTGTTTTCTTCTCTGTGCATCATTTCTTCCAAGAGGACAATTACCTGGAAAATAAATTTTCTTTTATTTGTAGTATTTTGTAACTCCCTTCCTTCTCTGCTTTACTAAGTATTATGCCATCCTGAGTCTGTAGTAGTAGGGGAGCTAAGGATAGATGGGCCTATCCTGAGATATGTAGAATGACCTTAAAACAGATTTATTGTGTCTTTTAAAGTGGAAGTTTAAGTAAACTAGACTCAATCCTGTTTGCATCTTCCACTGATGCCCACAGAATTGACAGCATGATTCAGATGCTGAGATGAAAAAATAACCCTTACTTGAAAAAACAACCCTCACTTCCCTGTGAGGGTGGTGAGGCCCTGGCACAGGTTGTCCAGAGAAGCCGTGGCTGTCCCATCCCTGGAAGTGTCCAAGGCCATGTTGGACAGGGCTTGGAGCAACCTGATCTAGTGAAAGGTGTCCCTGCCTATGGCAGGGGGTTGGAATTAAATCATCTTCAAGGTCCCTTCCAACCCAGACCATTCTGTGATTCTATGAATGCAGCGGCATTTGTTCTTCTGTCCTGAGGGACCTTATTAAATTTGAGAAATCCTGTTGTCTGAAGGAAGGTTTTTGCTATCTTTGTATAGCTTTTTGCTATCTTTTGAAGGTTTTGCTGTCTTTGCAGCTTCTACTTTGTATCACAAATGCCACCAACAGTAACATCTACCATTTCCCTTCCAGAAAGGACAAGGAGCTCCAGGGCGTGAGCCTGTGATTAGTCATGAAGAGCAAAAAGAGATGATGCTGTATTACTACAGAAAGCAGGAAGAGCTGAAGGTGAGTGTCTCTTTGGTGCTTCAGAGCTGTTGGAGCCTGGGCTGTGTCCCTCACTGCCTTCCTCTCCTCTCTGTTTACAGAAACTGGAGGAGGACGACAACGACTCATTTCTAAATGCTGAGTGGGCAGACAACCATGCTTTGAAAAGGCAATTTCATGGTGTAAAAGACATCAAATGGGGTCCAAGATAAAGCTCTGCAAACCCCTTCTTAAGCTGTTTGATCCATACTCTTGTTTGCAGAGAGGATTGTGTGCAGTAGGTTCTTCTGTCAGAAGCTGAAATTGTCACTTCTGTAGCCTTGGGTGTTCAATAAAAGTTGACATTTCTCTGTAACTCCAGCAGCATTTGTCTCTGCAAAGAATCGAACCAATTCTCTTGAAGTTTCTTATTTTATTAGAAACTTGTAATTTGAATATTGAAATGTTAATCCATTTCCTAGATAATAGATCTAGTAAATACGCACTGGAGTTGGAGTGTTGTTTGGAGTGGTCTTTATAGTTTCTTGTTATTCTTGCATTACTATTAGGTGGTATGCCCTGTAACAGGTAATTTATTTTAAGAGAAATCAGTTTTCCCAGGCTAATGCAGTGAGAGTTAATGATTTTTATGTGCTCATTCAAATTTCAACATAGCTAATTCCAAACTATCATTTTTTTAATTGAGTTAACATCTTAACAATTTTTTAAAGGAAGTATTTTTGTATAAAGACAAATAATACAAAAATCCTTGTGGAATGCATAATTTTCATTCATTTGGTTTAGTTTTCATTGCTGGTATGTAAAGATTGACAGAAATCTATATGCAAAAACAAGCGTCATTTGCAAGTAGATTGGATAAATAAAACCATGTTTAATAGGACATGATCTCTAAGATAGAAGTAAAAAATAATCATTTTCTGTATTACTGTGGTCAGAGACACAGATCAAGTTAAAACTCTCAAGTGTTGGCTGAACTCACAGCTGGAAGATTGGATGCAGAAAAGATAATTAATGCCATTCAGTGAACTGTTAATGGTGGTTTTACTTCAATCATTGATTTTATTTTTTTTGTTACTCTTATGAAAGTTTGGTGTCTGGTAGTTTTTGTTGAACCTCAACTTTCCAGTAACATGGTGTTATAAAAAAAAAATAAAAAATCTGCATGTGGGATTTTTCAAAGTTGGAAAACTTGCCCTGTACAGCTCTGGGGATTTTTAACCATTCCCATAGCTGAAAGCTTTTTTCCCTATTGTGCTCCTTTGTCCTCATCAAAGGGTGAAGAAAATCTGGAAATACTTAATTCTTAATGTCATTGGCATTGTAACCCCCCAGTGGTTTGGTGGATGTTTGTGATCCATAACTGGGATGGGGAACACTCAGTGAAATCACCAGAAAATCACAGTTTGTTATAAAGGTTGTTGGTCACCTGGTCCAGCTCTTGGTCAGTCCTGCCCACATTGCTGGAAGTGTTGCTGTGGCTTTTAAGGAGATTTCTACAGATTCAAACCCTCTCCCCTCTCCCTGTTGTGCTCTCCATAGTGGTTCCATGGGGATTTGTATGAATGCTGTCTGTTCAAAACAGGTTCTGCCTTGAGTAATTCTTTTGTTTGGGCAACTATATGGAAGTGCTTCAATAAATAACCCAAATGACTTTGTAGATTAATGACTTAGGGTTGTTACACATTTGTTTTTCTCTTTCCCAGCAACTTCCTAAAATATTTACATCCTTTTGGCAGCCAGAAAAAAATGTAATGCTGTTTATGAGCTTTTAAAGCAGGTTGTGAGGCAGCCTGGCACTTTTCGTGTACGGGGGGGGAGTTAAAGGGAGTTACAACTCTGCTTGTGACAACAATTCCCCTCCCTAAAATCTCATCTCTCTATAAGGAGCTGGCTGAGGACATGTGGGTTTTGTCCTGCCAACCTGGGAGGGAGATTCCCAAAAGATGGACTGTCCATATGCTCCCCAAGGTGGAGATGTGCACCAGGGCTGGGGCTTGCAACATGACCTTAGCCAGTGGTGCTTGTTTATTGGAATTTCTGCACCCCAGAACAATTCCTTAGCAGGATTACTTCTTTGTCTGCTCCTCCTCATTTGAAAGTATCTTTTTTAAGTTACTTGTTCATAACTGCCTTGAGCTTTGTGGCCTCGGCAGGGAGCTTCCCAGGTGTTTTGAATCAGTTACAGTGAATGCTTGAAAATATCCAATTGAATCCCTCTCACCAGCAGAGCTTTCATCTTTGATTAGCATTGTTTGAGGAGTTTGTTCTGGGGGCTCCCAGCCCTTTAAATAAGTGATGTCATTGCTGGCTTTTGGCCATTGAATTTATTGTCCTTGATACCAGGAAAATATTTCATAGCAGAGGAGGCAGAGTGAAATAATGGAAGGAGTCAAGAAGTCTGGTTATCTGTCCAAGACTTGTTGAGAGTTACTCTGTCAGGGAAAAAGAGACTTTAAAATTACCATTGGACAGAGGATTCTGAGAGGGGGGATGTTTGAACAGGACCTTTGATTATGGAGCTTACAATATTTTCATCTCCTTTCTAAAAGTGAGGGCAAAGCAGACATAGGAAAATTCATTTTATTCTGCATGCCTTTGACTGATGTTCTGTGCTGTAATGGGTGCTGTTTTCTTCTTTAGCTCAGAAAACTTTCTGTAAGATCCGAGTTTTTACCACAGTATTTGTGGATCTGCTGGATTCATTTATTATGGCTGAAATTGAATGAACTCACTGCAAAAAGATTAAAGACTACAGGAACCTGGGAAGGCCTATAGGTATTTTAACTATCCAGGGATTTTGAGATGATGAGACAGAAACACCATACAGAGTTTGCATATTTTCTTTTAAACTGTTTATTTCTGGAAGTTTGAGAGCAGCTGTGCCCTTCCAGAGGGAAAACCCATTCTTTGTCAAAGGACATGCAGAGTGGAATGTTGCTAAAATGTTTGTTCTGTGGCCATATGACCATCCTAATGAATGGAAGCGGTTTCCAGACCTAGTTTCCCTCCTTTTCTCCTTTTCAGTTTTGCTTTCCCAGGTTGTCCCAGGCTCTGCTTTCACCCAGGATTCAGAAGGATTTATTTACCGCTTCCTGCAACCTCACCCAGGGATTCCTGGTGACAAACTCAGGGTATTTTCAAGGCAGGAGTGGGGAGTTCCAACAGCCATGCCAACATTGCATGGCTGTTCGAAGTTTAGCAAGTTTAGGTATTGATGTCATTTCATGTCATTTCCAAAGGCATGTTATTCCCACAGCCACATGTGTGGCACGAACCAAATAGTCCATAAAGCCACCAGCTCTCCTCTGCAGTATTTTCTCCTTAGGCTGCTCTTCTGGGAAGTTGCAGGGATTTTACTGCTGTAACTCCATCCAGCCCTGAGTGCCCTCCCCGTAGTGCTGCTGCTGCTGCCCCATGGAACCCTCCCAAAAGATACCTCTAAGGAAATGGATTCCAGCTATGGCACTTCTGCTGGATTTTTCAGGGCTTGGGGCAGGTAAGTACATTCCTCATCAATTCTCTGGTTTCTCTACTGGATGCTTTTTTTGCAGAGGGTGTTTTTTCAGAAAGATTGAAATAACTTCTGTTTCTCAGGCTTTTCCATGTTTGTCTTCACTCTGACTTTCAGACTGCTGTGAACAGTGAACACTTGGGAATGAGGTGAACCACTAATTGATAGCTTTCCCCAGTTAGACTTGGAAAGTTTAAGCAGAAAGAATAAAATAGCAACCCAAATTCAGATTATAAATAGTTCAGTCAAGGGAACAAATCCAGAGTGAAGCTTGACCTCCCAGCCTGGAGCAAAAGCTGCTTTCCCTACCCTACTGAGTTGCTCCTGGTGCTGGACTTCTGATAGGTTTTGTCACCATGTCTGAAGATCCATTTAAACAGGTATGCATTACTAAGCACTTTTTTTTTAAAATTCAAAACAGATTCCCAGAGACTGTGGAATGCTCCATATTGGGAAGGAGGCACCTGCAGGAATCTTTCACTGTGTGCCTCCTGTTGTGGAGCCCAGCCCACTCTCCACAATCCAGTTGGATCAGTAAAAGGAAGAGGATAGGGGTTTTTTGACTAGTATCATCTGTCAGCAGGGGGAATTGTTGATCAGTCCCTTTCTGTCTGACTGGGAAATGGGTGGCACCTGCCCCATGAGTCAGGAGGAAGGAGCCAGCTCCTGCCCAGAGCTGTCCTACACCAGGGCCAGGCAAAGGCAAACCCACCTTCTTCACCCTCAGGACCAAGGCATGGGGTTCTCCAGACAAAAATCTGTTCATCGATATGGTGCCATAGCACAGGCTACAATGACTTTCTGTGGGGAAGGGGAGAGCAGTCCCAGCAGGAGTGCAGCCAGAATCCTGGGCTGTGCCTGCCTCTCCTGCAGTTTCCCAGTGCTCTGAGTGACCTCAGCCCTCAGTCCTCTCCTCAGCCTTTCTTCCTTCCTCTGATAGGATGCTAATTGCTGCTGAGATTTTTCCAGCTGAGCACGGGCTTGTGCCTTAGTCATCTGAGCGAGTCCCCTTCCTCCTTTAAAGTTTTCTCAGGCTTAATTTGACTTTGTATCAGTAGGAAATGACAAGTCATGTCAACTCTTTTCTTTCCAAGTGTTTCATACTGCTTGGCTGTACCTAGATGCGCAGTGTCTGAGCAGGGAAGCAGAATGAACCCATGAAGTATTCCCAACAGGAAGTGACATTTTTCCTCCTTTTGTTCAGTAAATTCCCTATGGGCTGCAGCTAAAATATTGGAGACATTTTAAAGACAGGAAGCAGAACTTAACCCCCTTGTAATCAGAATCACTGTTACCAGAGATATAGGGTTTATTAGGGAAAGGTTGAGTTAAGGAAACAGCAGAAAAGCTTCAGGAACTTGTGTTTAGTTTTGCTTTGTCCTGCACATGCCAGTAATAATACTCATATTTCTCATCAATAGAGCAAGTTTTGATGTAACTTATGAGCTGCAACAGCCTAACTGGTTACAAGTGCCATCTAACACAGAAAGTATTTCTCCATGTGATGTTTTTTTCCACCTTTTTTAATATTCCTTAACCTGCATGTGGCAGATCCCAAATTACAGTGAAAAGTAATCCATAACATGAATTAAAACTATGAAAGTGTTTTTCAAAGAAGTATTTACAGACAGTCAAGGGTATGAAACTCTCTGTTTATTGCATGTATTTCATCTTATTTTACAAATAATTACATGGATACAAATGTTCCTTCACAGAAGGTACATTTCTTTTTCAAAAAAAAAAAAGGGCTAGGGCATCATCCAAAATAAGCCATTTATTGTTCATTAATATAAAATGTATTCATATTTCTAGGAGGTGTCATATCCACACCACTGTTCATCCAGATTTCTTGTATGATCTGCTCCCTGCGCTCAATCCTTTCTGCCAGTTCCGCCGCCTCTGCCAAATTATATCCTGAGTAAGAAGGTCTGTAAAGTCCATCTATCTCATCCTGGGTGTCCAAAAGGGAATTCTCCTCCTCCTCCTGTTCACTGTTCTCGTACACTCTGGCACTCTCTGGCACCAACTGCTCCTCCTTCCTGTGTAATTTCCGGATGTCACCTGGGCACCACCAGCATATCACCAAGGCACACAGTGTGAGGATTAACCCCACACAAATGCTGGACACAAACAGGAGAGCAGCTCTTTCGAGGTGATCTGCAGGCAGAAAGCCAGGGCTTAAACACTTTACAAACCCTGCCAAGGCCTGGCTACCAACCCCAGCTGCCATTTCTGCAGCATTCCATAGCCATAATGGTGGGGAATCAGGGCTGAGGGGAAGCTTTTCCTGTCAGGCACTCAAACCTCCCTGCACTCACTGCCATCCATCTCTGCCTCTTCTTTTGCTGGGCAAAAATCCCAGCCTGATAATAACATTACAAAATAACAACAAATCCCATCTCTTTATGAGTAGCTCACTGGTGTTCCTAACCAGCTACCAGAATTCTGGACGCCCTTTTTGTTTTTTCCAGGCATCCTGCCAAAACAGGCCTTACCATCACTGCTCCTTGATGATCCCTGTATGTGTACAACCCAACATTCCCAAACATGCCTGTCTCCAGTGCTGCTCACAGGTCAGGGCCAGGTTTTTAGAACTACTGAACAACCGACAGTCCCCATTGAAAATATTCATTAAAATATATCTTGGCTGCAGTCTCTAAAAGAGTTTGGATCCTTCAATATGGGAAATATTCCATAAATATCAATTATGCTGTAATTTTCCCATCCACAAGATTGATTATATTCTAATAATATCATTACCATAAACTGGGATTACTAGTTATGACCTTTGGAGGTGATCCTCCCTTTTCCCAAAATGTGCACCAAACAGTCTCAGCCTCATTTTCCTACCTTTGATATATGCAAATGTAGCCAGGTAGTCAGAGCTAAGAATAATTCCATCTTTCTTTGGAAGTCTTGATTCCTTTGGATCAAAGTCAACACCTGTGACACAAGGAGGTAAAGCAAATTCAGTGAAGCTACTAAAGTGTTATTCACCCAATAACTTTTCAGCCAACAAGTCCACCCAGAACACAGGCAGGCCTGGGCCATGCTGCAGGAGCCTTGCACAATATTAAACCAAACAATGGTTGGTAAATTAAATAAATATAGAAATAAAGTATAATTAACAAAGCGTTGAAAATACTGA